GTCTGTGTGTGTGTGAGAGAGAGTGTGTCTGTGTCTGTGTGAGAGTGTGTACCTGGTCCTGTCAGACGCGGCGCTGCTGCTGCTGCTGCTGGTGGACTCTGAATCGGAGCTGGAGCGTGGCAGACTACGCTCGTTCCTGTACACCAGGAAACTCTCGGTCTTCGGCTGACTGCTTCCACCAAAACCATTACTGTGAAGATCTGAGAGGAGCACAGCATGAAGAGAAACGTGGTTACACTGACGTGTCTGCTGGAGCGAGTTTCTGAGGAATCCTCACAAAGCTCTTCTCCATATACCTGTACAGAGACTGACACGCTGCACATTTGTGGTGCTTTATGTGCTGTACTCTTTAGTGATGTGTAACACTGACATGGCTGAATGGCACAAGTAAATCTAATCATACGGATGTCTTATGTTCTTTTTGAGCCTCAACAGACACTGTATAGAAAATAGCTGCATGATCAAAATTTCTTGTTTTTCCACCGTAAACGGCACTGGGGCGAGTAAATACTGATTTTTTTGGGGGGTGAACCAGGCTTTGTTTTGTATTCGAGCACTCAATCTGGTGTCTTCATGAGTCCTCTGATGGTGGGGACTTCCCAGCATTCAAGCCTCTTTACAGAAAACATCTGACTCACAGAGAAGTGTGGGAGTTTCCTCAGTCAGTGTGTGAATATGAGCGGTGATGATTGAAACTTTGACATCCATCCAGTTTAAACAGCAGGATTCCATAAAGAAGTCTCTCGGCAGCAAAACAAATGTAGAATGGTGCTGAACTGAGGATGTAATTTCACAGCCTACAGTCACATCTGCAGCATTACTGAATGTGATGGGACTTGACAGCATGCTCATATAAACACAGGGTTATATCAGGGATCACAGATTTACTCGTCCTCATCGCCACCGTCTGTTTAAACTGCAGGGTTTGGCTATGCAAGACTATTTGACTCGTGACATTTACACTTCATATGCAAATTTGAACGGGCAATCTGATCAAAGTGAAGCCAGAGACTGTAGGGCTTGGGGCAAAAATGCCCCCCAAATTCAAGATGAGGGGCAAAAACTGCTCCTGCACAATTATATTGATCATGAGTGTCTGCAATAATACTGCAATGGCCAATCAGAGGCGCAGAACCTGCACTAAACATAAGTCATAACCTGCTTCAGCGATGGGGAAATGTAATTTCTGCATGCAATTTATTTCCAGTTTGAATATTTGTTTTGTTTTTCATACTACTTAACCCATGTGAAGTTTTGATTTTATAACGCATTAAAAAAAACAATTAATTAAATCAATGTTCTAAGCTAATTCATGTTCTAGCAGTTCTGAGACTGGTTTGTTTGCGTAGCTAAAGAATATGATGTGCCGTTTCCCTGAACACAAAAACGCTTTGTATAATCATGATCATTAATAATCATTATTACAACAGCAAAAGCAATAATCAGATGGGTAATTATTTATTGTAATTTTGCAGCCCTAACTTGTAATGAGTGAAAGTCTGTTGTTTTACGTTTCATATACTGTATGTATGATAATTAACATTAACCTCATAATATTATGAAATTGTGTGAAAACAATTTGAGCAGCATGAAAGAAATGCCATGTCACATGCTGTTCTGTGCCACCTCTCTCTGCAGCGTAAAGATGGCTTTTGCTGATTTGGCTTTTTACTGATCTGAAAGTGTCATTTATTAGGTGGCACGTCAGATCTGAAGCTTCTGTAGGCCGCTCACTGAGCGTGTGGAGCAGAGGCTGTACTGTGTGTCAGAGCTGCAGACGTACCCAGGATGAGGTGATCGTGCTCGCTGTCGGTCTCAAAGCTGGAGCTGGACTGGGGACTGTGGGCTCTCTTGCGGGACGAGGTGAGCAAGGGGAGCTGCGGAGGGCCAATTGGACTGGACCTCAGCACCCCAGGCCCATGCAGCGCCTCTCGGTTCTTAGGGGGTCGACCCGGGCGCTTGGGAGGCCCGGCCGCTTTAGGGTTCTTCTTGGAGAAGAGGACAGAGGTACGCCGGCCGACCTCAGGGGCCAGAGCTGAAGATGATGTGCTCAGATCTACAGAGAGGAATACAGCTGAACAATGGGTACTTTGTTAAACAACAGTACAGTCCACTGAACGCACTCAGTCCCTCACAGCCTTGTTTTCATCCCTGTCAAAAACAAATTCATAACACATAAATATGTCGCTTCCCTGACTAAGGTCTTTTAAATGAGATGCAATAGTGCTCACCCCTTCCCACCAACATTATATATACACCGTCTGCTAAAATATCACGTAAATTCAATGTTAATAATGATGATACGAGTAGGCTATACGGCTTGTGTGGTCATTAATGCTTTTCTATTTGACTTCAAATCTCATGTTTATCTTCAAATACAGCACAAAAGAACTAAAAAGCATCTGGAGCAGTGTTGCCAGGTGGGCTACTTTAACACTGTTGCCGCAGGTTGTTTTCATGTCCGTGGTTTGAAGCGGCCCCAATAATGTGATATTTAGCC